CAAAAAAAAAAAGAAAGGAAGGGAAAGTGAGGTGAAGGGAGAGGGGAAGTAAAAAGACCAATAAAATGTCTTTAAAATGTATCATAGAGTCTACAGCGACCAAGACAGAATGGTATAAAAGCAGACAAATATACTCAGGAGGCTGAGGCAGAAGGATCACTGGAAGTTTGAGGCCAGCCTGGGTTCCATAGTGAGTTTAAAACTGCCTGAACTACACAGCCAGACCTTGTATCAAAAAAAAATAAAGAAGTAGACACATATAGTAGAATACAATAAAGAGTACAGAAATAGGCCCAACACATACAACAAACTAATATTCAACAGAGATGCAAAGGCAAAAAAGGAATAAGCATTTTAATAAATGATATTGGAACTGATTATGTATATGCAAACAATTAATTTTTTATTAAGTGGACCTAAACATAAAACCTAAAAAAATTCTATAGGAAAATACAGGAGGATCTTATGTTAAGCAAACTATTATCCAATACCAAAAGTGTGACTTTTTCAAATAAATGACAAAAAGTACTTCTTCAAATTTAACATTTGTTACTTGCTGGGTGTGGTGGTACACACATGTAATACCAGCATTTGGGAGGCTGAGGCAGGAGGATTTTGGCAAATTCAAGGCCAGTTTGGACTACAAAATGAGTTTAACCCCAGCCTGAACTGCAGAGCAAGATCTTGTCTCAATAAATAAATAAATAAAAATAAAATAAAATGTGTTTTTCAATTATTCAGAAAATTAGCAGACAAGACACAAACTTGAAGAAAATATCCAAAAAACATGTATCAGTCAAAAACATGTATCTAGGATACATTAAGAACTAAGATTACTTAGTAAGAGACAACTCAATTGTTTTAAAGAGAAAAAAAACAATAAAAACAAAGATACAGAATTTCAAAAACAATAAGAAATTAGCACTGGTTAATAATTTGTGTATTGTTATCATCAAAGTAGTTGTTCAGATTACAAAATGTACACATGCACAATTGACCAAACAATATAAGCACAAACTGTGTTCTCTAATGAACTAAATTATTTTAATGGGCAAAATAATCACATGGATTCATATATAGGGTAACCAAAATAGTAGTCATTAAGACAATAATGAAATATGCATCCAATAGGATGGTAAATGTTTAAAACAACTATATCAAGGGTTGAAAAATATGAAAAAGGCTGGGCCTGGTGGTGCTTGCTTATAATCCCAGCACCTGAGATCCTGAGGCAGGATCTCCACAAGTTTGAGGCCAGCCTGGGCCACATAGTGAGTCCAGATCAGCCTGATCTGGTGAGACCTTTTCTGAAAAAAACAACTATTAAAATGACTATACCACTGTGAGTGGTATAGTCACACGGGAAAATAATTTAACGATTTCTTTAAAAGTTAAACAAATATCTATTATGTAACCCAGCCAATTAGTCAATAGAATTAAAAACCTATTCGCACAAAAATTTGTACCAAAATGGTGACAGTATTTTCTGGATACTAATTGCTGAAAACAATCTAAATATTCTAAATTGGGGTATATTTACAAACTGGAAAATTGTCAAAGAATAAAAGATTAACTAATGATACACAAAAATTATTATAAAATAATTACACTAAATAAAAAAAGCCAAACTAAAAAATACATCCTATGATTTTATTTATAGAGTAAAGTTGATAGGATATATAGATAGACAGATGGATAGATAGATAGATAGATAGATAGATAGATAGATATAGATCCACTGGATAGATAGATAGATCAATCGATCACTGGGTCCTTCAACACTGGAAGGAAGAATAATAAGAAAGAGATTATAAAGAGCCAGGAGGAAACATTTAAGACTGATTGACAAGGTCTTTATCTGAACTGCAATGATGATTTCAAGGTTAAATATATCTCTGAAAACTAATCAAATTGTATACTTTAAAAATGAAGCCTATAATCCATCAAAGTACACCGTAATAAACCTGTACTTTTAAAGCTCCAACTATACAAATATATATTTTTAAGACAGGAAAGAGAACATTAATTATAGTTTATCCCAAATACTCTATCATTTTAACTTTACAGATCTTTAGGATAAATGGTAGCTTAAATGGGGAACAGTCTTCAAATTTGTTACCAACTATTGGCTGTGCCAAGTTCTCTATTAAAGGCAAACTATTCTGCTGTATTAGCTTGGTAGAAAAACCTAAAACCCTTGCCTGGACACTGAATAGATTCCTTGCTCCAAATTTCAAACACCTGATTTTGAGAATATAATCCAAATTATCTCTTCAAAATCAAGACTTACAATGAAATATTCAATTTTCTCAACATTCAAAAATAAATCAAGTGAAACATTTATTCTTTATTATGCAGTAACAACTGTATCAACATTGTTATAATCTTGACATGCTGTTCAGCCTTATTTTTTTGAGAGCTCCCTTTTCTACTGTCCCACTTGCAGCATCTGTATCTTTTTTACTAAGACTGCAATTTAAATGTATTATCTTTGTGTTTTACAGTATCCATAGCAATAAATTCTGTTCCTAAGAGAATCATTACAATCTCCAACTACTTAAGGAATTATTTTTACGTATTTTTTTATTTAAAGAAAAATAAAACAGAAAAAAAGGTAGAAATAATACAGAATTTCAAAAAAAATTAACACTAAGAAATCACTAGTTGATAAATTACATGTTGTCAGTGCAAACCATTCTGCTCATGATTCAACCAAAGCTTAATAATACGGTTATCTATCTTGCACATTTAAACATACATACAGTTATATCCTTTAGAGTACAGCAATAAAATTTAACACCCACTATAATAGTACAACTTTGTATGTCTTTAAAACTTGGCATAAATGATAGTTGTGAGAAGAATTGTCGGTCAATCTATAAATGTTTTTCCAGGAGAAAGCAATATCTTTATGGTTGTTTCATAATAAGGCTCAGGTTTTTAATAGTGTATTGAGAGATACATTGCTTTCTAATTAGTCTTCATCAGTCATATCTCTTAGACATTTCTCAAGTTGCTCCATTTCTCTGCCCACAAGGTCCTTGAGTTTACACACTGTTGCTATAGCCCAAGTGCCTCAGTCTGGAGCCTGGGTAACTGACATGCTTTCTCCCTGCCCAGTCTCACCCTATGGTCTGTTCTCTCCATACATCTTACTGGTTTCCAAAAAAAAAAATGTAGAGGATAGAAAACAAGTTATTTAGTACAAGGAAGTAATTAGTCATGTCCAAAATGTGGACAGCATGTAAGACAAATAGCCTAGAGCATCTGTATTTCAAAGTCAACTATTCCACAAGCGGTTTATTGTTTTAGTTGGCTTCTAGTTTGATAAAACTTGAATTTATAAAAACAAAACCAAAGCAAATCACAAAGTATAGTTACGCCCCTTAGATGATTGTTTTTTTCCCTCTTCACTATGTAACCAAAGGCAGAAATCACTTCATAACTCTATTAAAATTTTTTTAAGGGGCTGGGGGTTTAGCTCAGTGGCATAAGTGCCTGCCTGGCAAGTGCAAGGTCATGGTTCAATCCCCAACACAAATAAATAAATTAAAATATGGCTAAAAAATTTTTTTAAAACTAGGTAGTGGAAATTATATCTTGATAAATCATTTTAATCATCATTTTAATTCACCTTTTTTGTGTTCTTTATGCTCTCTTCAGTTTTTATGTTCTTTCTGCCCTTTTCAGAATTTCTCATTTCTGTATATCATCTAATGCAAAATGCCAGGTCTATGGATCTCCACTTTAATAGTAAAATGAAAATTTCTTTTTTAGAAATGTTTGCTAGCTCAATGCAATCAAGAAATATAAATACCCATAAGAGCTGCTAATCCATTATACTATTTTAACAAAAACATCAAATTTATAAATACATGTAATATCTTGTATTCAATTTTCATTTTTTTATAAGTTTGGTGTGGAAGAAGAAAAGGCTAAGAAAGAAGAAAATAAAGAATATGACAAAATAGCAACTCAAGACAGAACATTCACAAACTGGTCTGGAAAAGCAAGCACTCAATGTATATTCGATGAACTAGTGAACGAATAAACAAGCTTGATTTCACAGTCATTTAATGTATCTCTTCTTCAGCTGATTAACATGATATGGCTTCTTACTGGCTACTGAGCAGCAAAAAGAAAGACTGGAAATCCTCCAAATGTCCAGTAAATGTACCATGGTCAGTCAAGCAAATATTAGTAAATGTAAAAAACCAAGTGGATTTATATAATGAAAAGATAAGAGTTCAAGATCATACTGTTCAATTAAAAATAAAATAAAGGTGAGCACAGTGGCACATGCCTGTGATCCCACCAGCTTACGAGGCTGAGGCAAAAGTATTACAAATTGCGGGCCAGTCTCAGCAACTTAGTGATACCCTGTTTCAAAATTTTAAAGAAAGTGGGGGACATGGCTCAGTACAAAAGCCGTAGGTTCAATTGTAGTACTATTATTAAAAAGTTCATTTAAAATCTGAGTCTGTTGCTTCAGGGAGGCCTGCGAGAAGCGCTATCATTCAAACTATAATAACTCCTTGTGTCCTAACTAGAGAGCAACCGACAGGACTCTGGAATGTCTAAACTACAAAACAAACCAATTATATTTTTATGTTCATATAATACCTAAAGATGCAAAGTAAAACATATTTATGTTTGTAAATATTTTGGGGTATATTTAGCCAATCACCTTTAAAAAGAACTAAAAGTTATAATTAATTTATCCAGTTCCATAAACTGATATTTTTATGTAAATACCGCATGCTAACTGATGGTGCCACTGGAGTTCCCATACTATGATATTTCTAAAGTGCTTAAAAAGGTTTAAACATTTCTTCTCTTAAATAATGTGAAACTTTCCTCTGAAATCATGTGAATAGTATACTCTTAGCCCTTTTTCTATTCCTAGGAGATAACATTTGGCACAGGTCTGTCTAAATTATTACAAATTTATAATGAGGCACAACAAATATGATGCAACCCGAAGATTTAGCTTTACTTACCTCGGAGTTTAAAATATTTCATATGACTTGCCACAGCCTCTGTAACAGTTTCATTTCGGCAGATTTTTACTCCATTAGGAAACAGAATAGACCGTCTTCTTCTCAACAACCACCGTTTCTCAATTTCTCTGTGGCTCAGAAGCTGTTGCTTTTTAGCAGGTAGAGAAGAGTCTGTAGATTCTTTGGGCAGTAGAAAAGAAACTGCAGGCTTTGGTTCTTGTATATCTTCTAAAGATAAGTAGGTTTGCACTACGGAGTGAGAGCATAATCAAATCTTGTGATGAGGAATGAAGATAAGATACAAAAGGTAACAGGAAAAAATGGTCACTTTGTGCCACATTGGATTTTTGAAGTCAATGCCTGTATCAGGAGAGTGAAGTATTCAATCTTCCTCTCATTTAATTTCCCACTCCTAAGATGTCTTATCAAAGTCAAGAATAGATTCAATTTCAACACAGGAAATAAGGGGAAAGATTTGGATCAGGACTTACTATAAAGACGAAAAACCCCAAATTATCTTAAAACAATGTAAATAAAGCATTATTAAAGATTAAAAGAGTAGTATTTACTTAATTTCTTATAGCAATCACATCAAATAATACTGTTTTAAGAAATATACTAGAGCTGAATAGAAAGGCAAAAAATTATAATTACCTGTTAATGATGGAAGGTTTCCTTCTATCAAGACGAGTATCAGAATACCCAAAGAAATCTTCCCCAAAAGAGGAAACATAATCATTTAGACCTAAAACAAGTAAATAAGAGAGCAAAATCCTTAACTGAACATTCAAAGACTTAAAATTTCCAATAAAAAATTGTTACAGGAAAGGCATAACAAGTTTATGTTTTAGAATGGACAACCACTATAAAACCATTATAAATTAATGTAAATAAAAATAGTATCCCTTCAAAGTGGTTCTTAATTCTTTTCTTAAATAACCAGCATGCAATGAAAGCAGGAGAGATAAGCTAATTAGAACAGATGGAGAGAGACAATTTCTTTAATCTATCCAGCTAAGCTCTTTATTAACACTCTATTTGCCTTTAGCAAGCAGTTCATTTACAAATATTTCATATGAAGTCTTCTTTTTTCTATCTTCTTTATCTCTATTCATCAAATCTGATAGATTCATATATTCTCTGGGTTCCCATAGGAACTAAATTATATACGCATAAAATTTCCAGACTGATTATACCTACCTATTTCAGCAATACAGGGCCACATTCAAAACAAAATTAGTTTCCATAATAAAACCATCATATTATAAATTTCCCTGATAGAAAATCTGAACTCCTTCACCATAATGGATAATTAATCCTCTTGATGACCTAGTCCAAAAAGCTAAAAAAGATCTGACAATTGAAGTGATATGAAATCTGTCCTTAGATTGAGAAGAACAGGGTTTAAATTCTGGCTTTACTATGTAATACCTGATTTGATACATCACCAAAACTTGTTGAGCTGTTTTATTCACCCAAAAAATTATGATAATCTCTGTCTATAATATGGCGTTATAAGAATTAAGAAATACAAAATTATCTGAGACCTAATACGTTGTATTCCAGTTGTATTACAAAGATTCATAAAGTCTACAGGGATGCAAGCTTTGAAATTCTCTTTTGTTCAAGCTCTAAAACTGATTTTTAAAAAGTCCCTAACAATCCATGTAGAAAATGTATTTAATATCTTCAAAAGCATTTATTATATCCTATGAAATGTAGTTTATAAAATTTTAGAAACATACTATTAAAAAACATGAAAAATTCAGCTGGGTTTATTTGCTTCTAAATAGGTTCGTCATTTTGTAAACTCATTTTAACTTGACAATTGATGTAATTATATCTTTAACTGCAACTTCTTAGAGTAACTGTATCTATGATATAAAGCTATAGATTCATTCCATGAGAACCAAAAAACAAGGTTAACTCCATTTGTAAAAGTAGAAAGGATTTATTACAAAAGATAACATTTCACTGAACCTTCAATGGCCTGGATGGCATTTCAGTGGGTGGAGGTTGTAGTGGTGTTGGTAGTAAATAGGAAGGTCTAATTTTTTTGTTTCTTAAAGAATCCTGAGTAATGGCACACACTTGTAATTCCAGCACTCTGTGGGACAGAGGCAAGATGATTTAAATTTAAAGTTCAAGCCCAACCTTTTGACACAGCAAGATCCTGTGTCAAAATAAAGAGCAAAGTCTGGGGATGTGCCATGACCTGTGCAGCTCTTGAAGTTTCTGGGGTAAAGACCGTAAGTGAAGAGAAAAGGTAAAGAAATAAATATCCGACACAGAGAGCTGGGATCACATGAAGCCCGCTCTCCTGAAGGGAGGAAAGGGACTGCTCCCTCACTGTAGGGGCATTTATTTATAGCAACACAATGCTGAGTGGTACCCCTTTATTTAGAAACTCATTGCGTGGATTGTGCAGGAGCTTGCTGTTTTTCTGGGCTGAAGCAGCTTCTTCATGTGGCTTGCCCTTGGCACTGTTTGGTTTTGGGTCAGCCATATCCGGGCCATGCTCCGGCCCTGCATTGTATGACCATTTTCAGCTTCAATGACTCCCAACAAGGATGTAGGTCAGTGTGAAGGCTCAAAATTTAATCCCTAAGACCAACAAAATTTTTAAAAATTAAAAGGAAAGAAATTATTGATCATGAGCAATAATGTATAAAAGTTTATACAAAAATTTTAAATATATGCTGGAGTAGAATAGAAGCATATGGTGGAAAATTGAGAATGAAAGCTCAAAAAGTTAATTGTTATAAGTTATGGAATACCTTTAAAATATCACCAAGATTTTTTGTATTTTAACCTATAAGTGAAACAGATTATCTATGAGATACTTAATGGTTCAGAAAACTATTCTGCTAGTTTTCATTTAAGGGTATTCTTTATAGAAGATATGTTAAAACATCACAACATGGTCTTTGAATATTGTTATGTGTCAGAAGATGTTCCTAAATCATAAGCATTTGAGAAACTCAACATAAAATTCTATTCTTTGAAGATAACAAAGATACTAGATTGCTTCATTCATACCCAATTCCAAATCAGTTGAGGATCATTTATTGAGAGCTTACTAGATGCTACTAACATTCCTTGTACTAAACACAGGAAACAGAATATATAACAATCTCTGAGGAGCTTATCACATACAGGGATAAATGTGTATACAAATAACATAACAAAAGTGATTAGAGAAATAAATATGAATTGTAACAAGCATAGAAGAGAATGTTTGAACAAGTGTGGAATGGTAAAATTAAGAGTTTAATTTTGAAAAAACAAACTTCACAAGTAGTGAATAAGTAAGGTAGGAAAAGGGAGTGGAATATGCAAAGGCCTGCAGGTGTGAAGATAAATACAATACCACAATACCAACTTCACACAACTATCTATGGTTTGAGATTTACAATGTCAATCACACTTATGAGACAACAGTTCATAGCCTAGCTCCATGTTTTCTTTGTAGAAGACAGCACATTGTTCTAATCATGAGAATTTCAATTAAGGTTCTCATCTAGAGTTTTTATAGGAATACTAACTGATTTCTCCTGTCCCCAAAAGAAATGCACTTGCTTTTAACAGAATAGTGCAGGCCGTAACATAATGAGGACCTATAAACATAGAATCACGTCTTTTAATAGGCCATGAGCATAAATTTCAAATTCCCAGAAGAATAAACTTAATTATAAGAGACTACAGAGAGTGGGGCTGGGAATTTAGCTCAGCGGCATAAGCGTCTGCCTTGCAAGCAGGCAGTTGTGAGTTCCATCCCCGGTACCGATAAAAACGAAAAAGACAAAAAAAAAAAAAAAAAAGACTACAGAGAGAAGTATTGAAGTATTTAAGTATGAATGAAAATTTCATATAACTAAAAAGTAGAGATCTATGGAAAAACAAGGATAGGCTAGAGCCTGGAATAAAACCAGGTTGGGCTCTGTATGACAAATCTAGGTTGCTTTTTTCTCCTGGCATAAAAAGAGAAAATATCTAAGTTTAAGAAATATTACGCTTCTTCAAAGTCATATTCAAATGACTCAATGACAAGATGCTACTTTTAACACTAGCGTGTATTGTGCCTTAAAAACTATTATTGAAAGCTCCTTCACTTTGGTCCAACCAGAAGGAGGGTGGTGTAGTCCCCCAGCACTGCAGAGAGCTCCACCCTCTCTTCGGCCCTCTCTCCTCCTGCCTCATACGCCAGTAACTTGGGTCAAGGTGAGATCAGGTGCAGAGAGGGTGATCACGCCAATTGGGTGGCCTCTCTTCCAAGATGATACAAGTACTGACATCTGACTCCCAGAAACTGCTACACCAGACAAATACCCAGTTGGAACAGGAGGCAAGATGTCAGCCAAAGGTCTGCGGCTTGAAACTAATTTAATCTGCATATGATAATGCAGATTGGTGGCAAGACTAAGGGACTTTGAAGTAAAAGATCTCCTTAGTCTAACTCAGTTCTTTGGCTTTGATACAGAGACATTTTCTCTAGCTATGAATTTATTAGACAGATTCTAAATGAAGGTACAGCCCACGAACCTTTGTTGTGTCAGACTGAGCTGCTTTTATTTGGTTGTAAAATCAAAAAGGAAATGTCTCACAGCAACTGACTTAACCTGAGTAAGTCACTATAGGTTCAGGGTTTCACACTTGATGAAAATGGTAAAGACTGTATTCTGCCTCGCAAGCAGGCAGTCGTGAGTTCGATCCTTGGTACCAATAAAAAAGAAAAAGACCAAAAAAAAAAAAAAAAAAAAAAGACTGTATTGGAGAGGAGGTATTGGAAAGTCAAAGCTACCACTGCCCTTCAACTTCTACAGCTCTATTATTCACTAGTTAAAAGAACCTGCCATGCGAAAGGAAAAATAGCCTAAATTTTAAAAGACTAAAAACTCAGCTTAAGGTATGTCATTGCAGAATCACATTTTCTAAAGCCAAACTTTCTGTGCTGGCCTTACTATCATTGCATTGATCAACCAAGCACAGTTATCCCTACATAGGGTTAACAAGAGTAGAATGTCATCAGAAATATTCCAAGAGAAATGGCAGAAATCTGAGCTTCTGGCATGAAGTTATATCCAACTGTTTTAAGTGAATATTCATCAAACAAGCATTCCAAACCAAGTGTTCAGAAGCTAAAGTGCACTGTTTCTGGATGTATTACATGGCAACTAAACCATAGTTACTAGAGTAACTCATCTTTCAATAATTCCTGAAATGTTTCTTCAACTGGTTAATTTGGTTGTTATTCTCTGTATAAAGAAATTTATATCATTTTCTTATACAATTGAAGTATTAAAATATTATCTTTGAAATAAACCAACTGGACTTGGAAAGCCAAAGGGAAAAATGACATCACCAATCTGGTCAGCTAACATTTGAAGACACTTACTATATAAAAAGTACAACATCTTAAGGCAAGCACTTACCCAATCTCTGATATATATGTTAACCATTTCATTAAATTAGTAGTTTAGAAAACAGCCTCTTTAATAACTTGAATTTTTAAAGTAGCCCTTAAGTGTTAGTTTTTTAGTTGCACATTTTGCTATATGAAGCCTCAACCTCTAGCTCAATTAAAGTTATAAGAGGGCCCAAATTTTGATCCATGTATGAACAAATTCGAGACTACGTGCTTATAAGGAGAATCATTTATGAACTTGAATATTACACCTACAGAAAAAATAGAGAGCAAATGATCCTGTTGTGTTTCTGAAAACTATTAATCTGTCTCAACATCCTGCTATAGTAAATGAAATACTAAAAAGTAATTATATTCATAAAAATGCAAATTCAGTCATTTCATATATTCTACACATTTTTGCCATCTAAATTTATTAATGATTTATCTTTTCCTACCTAAAACTTAATGCTAATATTTAACACATCTACACGATTATGAAACTTAGGTATGAAAAATTTACTTTTAAGAGCTTGCAGTATTTAGAAAATTTTTTTGTAAGTTGACTTTTTTTTTTTAAGTTGGTGTGGTTTTATTCTTCACATAAATAGTACTACAGCAGCAAAAAAAAATTTCTTTGCAGTATTTCTCCATAATCCTATTGGATTCCATGTTATCATGGATTTAAAA